AGAATTGCACAAGCTCATATGCCAACCCAATGGTAAATGCCTGCCTTTCCATTTGCGCGGATTGACGCGTTGAATCACGTCGCACATTTTCAACTCTCGGTACGAACGAGCCTTCCCAAATGGTCTGGTTGACTCGAAGCTCTGCGATTACCCAATCAAACCACGGCTTTGAAGGTTTCCAAACCTGAAGCCCAAGCCTTTCGCGGCTTAGACTCGCGTCTCGCGTGTTCCACCAAAATATAACGCCTGAGTTTGACTCACCTCGCCTTGCCTATAAAAGTAACCAGCTCTCCTGGCGTTTCAGTCACTCACCCACACCACAACCTTCCATTTCATCCTACACGTTCTTCTTCACCCAAGCTCCAGGCCGCAAACCAGAGCAGCGAGAACAGCAGGAAACCATCTCCCGACACTTCGTCGATCGCAGCACGACATCAGCCATGGCATTTAGAGCACTCTTCCTCGCGTGCATCCTCCTCCTTGTGTCGGCATCCGCCTTGGCGCAGCGTGGTCCGCCTGGCGGAGGTCCTCCCGGCGGTCAGGGACGTGGGGGCGCGCGCGGAGGCCCTGGCGCCGGTTCCGGCGGTCCCGGTGGTCCCAGCAGTCCTGGAGGGCCTGGCGGGAAGCCGCCGCACGGGTTTCCGCTGAACCTGACGGCCGTCGGGAATCTGACGGCCGATGTTGGCGCGCAATTGGCCAACTGCTCCGCGGACCAGACGATCGTTGACGGCCGCTTCCACCTCGCCATCTTCAAGTAGGCTCCGGTGCTTTATTTTGTGTCGCATTTCACGCGAGGAAACCCTAAATTCCCTGTGCGCTTCCCTCATCCGTTCTCAGTCGCTAGTCGGCGGAGTTAGTATAGTAGGATTGGCTTCCGCACGAACCCTCCCACTTGACTTCCTAGATTAAAATGTGCGGCACTCGGCATCTTCTGATCCTCGAGCTCATTGCGTCTTGCTCCCTCCCCTCCCCTCCCCACTTTTCCTCCCCTCCCCACTTTTCCTCCCCTCCCCACTTTTCCTCCCCTCTCCACTTCCCCTCCCCTTCGTCCCCGCGCCCCTCACCAGGAACGCCACCGGCAATTACAACCTCCTCGTCCAGGCGCTCCTGGTCGACGCGGCGGGCAGTCCGCCCGACTCGCTCGCGATCGTGAAGGGCGCCGTGTGCGACGCCGCCGCGACGGACGTCCTCGCGCTGCCGCTCGCCGCGGCGGACTGGCAGCAGCGCGCGGGGTGGTGGCTGCTGCACGCGGAGGCGCGCCTCGACGCGTTCCTCGAGAACGCGGACGCCGCCACTCTCGACGCGCTGCTCGCGGTGCTCCCCAACGCCTCGCTTCCGCGCACGAGTGGCGGCGGGCGCAACGGCGGAGGCAGCGCGGGGGGCGCGCGGAGCGGACAGGGTGGGAGGCGCATGGGGCGGGAGCTGCTGATGCGCGCAGTGGGCCGCGCTGCTAGGCAGGGGGGACAGAATCAGGGGGGAAAGCAGCAAGGGGGAGCGCAGCAGCCGCCCGCAGGTGGATTTTCAGGTGGTGATGGCGGAGTGAACATCACAGTGAGCGGGTATGCTGTGCTGGCGGGCAGCAGCGCAGCAGGTGTGACATGGGGCGGACAGCTCATGGGGGCCAAAATGCCCGCTGCTGCTGTTTAATGCTTAACTGCCGTCCTGCTCCGCCTGCTGCTGTTGCTGCTATGTGATACGGCGATGGCTGACAGGGTTTGGGGATTCGAATCCAGCCTGATGCAGGCAGAACTTGCTGCTGCTTGATTCATCACTGCTTTGGGGATACCAGTGGCGTCAGCTTGGTGTTTCCACGGTGAACACGCGCATGCAAGGTGTTGCTGTTGCAGCCGGGGGTTTCTTGCTGCAGGCATGGTTGTGAGGGGCTTGTGGGCCTCTCAGCCATGTGAGTAGCTAAAATAGGTCAAATTAGAGCATCTGGTGCAGGAATGCTGGCAAGGCAAGGCATCCGGGGACACCACCAGCTGACTTGCCAGTCTTCCTACCCCTGATTTTCCATGTCAAGTCGTGAGAAATGTGTTCTATGTGTGTTTGTTTGGAGTCAATTTTATGTTTTTCTTTGAGTCTTTGTCACTAGCAGCTCACGAATGTGTATCTGAGTGGTGTGTTGTACTAGGTACCAATGGTTAACCTGTATGCTGTTCACCAGGTACCATTGCTGTCAGCACTATGTGACAACGTACACAATATGAATTCAGGTGATCTGACAAATCCAAGAATGAGAACGGCAAGTATACTAAGCGGTTCACATCACACCGAGAACCAGAACAATAAACTAAGGTCAACTTCCAAAGTTATATGTTCCAATCAGCCAGCGGATTGAGTCGATGCACTGTACTGTATGTTGCATCGAAAGCTGATGCTTACTGCCCTCTGCTTCTAGCGAACTCAAGCCACTGCAACAGAGAGAAACAGGGAGCGGACACACAGGGAGGGCAGTTAGGGAGAGGGAGACGACACAGACACAAAGGGATGGGAATCAGGGATAAGGAGCCGGTGGTACAGCATATAGAGAGGCAAAGTATGAATCTCGAGATCAGTGTCCAACCAAACAGTACATCAATCTATGCCATCCCTATCACTGATAAAGTCACCTCTTCAGCCCCATGCCAGCATTCCCCATGCCATACCTGTCTAAGCAGGCCTGCCAGCGTGCGAGGGAGCGCGTGGATGTCCCTCAGAAGGATGTAGTAGGGGAAGGGGAAGGAGTCCAGGTAGCTTGAGAAGGCTGGCACCCCGTCTGAGAATGACACGGACTGCAGGAGGGGTGCAGGAGAGGGCAGGGAGAAACGGGATATGGCTTGTATGAATCTCAAAGTCAGTTCAGGTAGGTTGAGAGAAGGCTGGGACCCCGCCTGAGAATGACACGGACTGCAGGAGAGGTACGAGAGAGGACAGGGAGGAATGGGGCCAAGACAGGGGATAGAAGGGTTGAGGAAACGGAGGGAGAGTGTGTTGCTGTAGCGGTTAGTACCTGAGCAGACTTCAGCTGTTGGTTGGGGCCAAGACATGGGATAAAAGGGTTGATAGTACTGAGAGTTCATTGTGTACGGGAGAAGCAGACAATGCAGGCTTTCTCGGTGAAAAAAAAAAAGGGAAAAAAAGTAGGGCATTCTTGGTTGTCGGGTTTTGGGCAGGTTTTGGGTTTTGGGCGGCTGCAGGTGATTGAGATTTTGTGAGAGTGCGCATACCTGCATGTCAAGGATGGATTCAGAAGGGCTGTCCAGCAGAATGAAGGCCAGCAGCTGCCCCTTGCCCATGGCATGCCGCACTGTGCGCCTTAGGGTCTCCTGGCGCGGTGGACGCACAGGGGGGTTTGGGCAAGGCAGGGAGGGAGTGGAATGCGTGTTGGAGAAGCAATGAGGTTGTGGGTGTTGTGGGAGATGGTTCCACGCAAGGGATGGAGGGGGATGGAGCGGGACAGAGTTGCGCCATGTCATGTGCCATGCCATGTGCATCGTGCCATACCGCATGCCACACCACATGCCACACCACATGCCATACCACATGCCACACCACATGCCACACCACATGCCACACCACATGCCACACCACATGCCACACCACATGCCACACCATACCTTCTCATGGAACCGCCCATCCGCCACAATCAGCACCAGCTGCTCCAGATGTCCTCCTCCTCCCGTGCCCGCACTCGCAGAGTATCTCATCGCAGCAGAATCCAGCGCCCCAGACAGAAACCGCAGCAGCTCCACCATTGGCTCATCCGCAATCGTGTTGTCCTGCTTGAACGAGAATTGCGAGATGACTTGCACGGCTGCTTCAGGAGAAAACGGCCGGTCTAATTCATGCAGCATGCGCACGTTGCCCGGCTCGCCGAAAGCAACGACCCCGATCTCCCCAACCTCGATCGTCGCCATCGCTCGGCAAATCGTGGCCATTGCTTCGAGCGCTAGATGCCCGCACCGTGCCTCCGACATGCTTCTCGAGTCATCAATAGCTAGAACCACCTGGTATTTGCGCTTATCCGGGCGGGTTCTCCTCAGCCAGATCTTATCCCGCTTGAACCCGCTTGCAATGTACGGAATCACCTTCTTCATGTTGATTCTCTTCCCCGATCGGTAGTCTCCTTGCAGTTTGGTCGCCATGGAAGGTTCTAGAATGAGCCGCAGCTGCTCTGCTAGCTCCTGAGAGGCGCCGCTGCACAGCAGCTCGTATTTCCGCCACGCGTCGCGCGCCGCTTCGAGCTTCTGCCGGCCCTCCTCGCTCTCCCGCATCCGCTGCATCTGCGCTTCTACCTCGGCTCGCATGCGCTCTAGTTCGATCTCAGTCCATACCTTTTCCCTCGCGCCGCCAGCAGCGTCCGCGCCCTCTCCTGCTCCGTCCTCTTCGGCCTCTCCCTCTTCCTTCTCCCCGTCCGCCTCTCGCAAGCGCGCCGTTTCCTTGACCTCCTCTTTCCATCTCATGGATACGAAGCTCGAATCCATAGCTCCAGATGCGTCCCCATCCACCTCCATCTCTTCTCCTTCCAATTCCTCCTCCTCTTCCTCCTCCTCACCCTCCTCCTTCGCCCCTCCTGCCTCCTCCCCCTCCCCATCCTCCTCCTCTGCTGCATCTTTCATCAGCTTCTGCTTGTTCTTCCCTCCCTGCCCCCCCCCAGTAATTGTCTCCAAATCCTTCCCCTCCTCCTCACCCTCCTCTTCCTTCTTCTCTGCTTCCTCCTCCTCGTCCCCCACCTGAGCTTCTGCGCCTTCCTCCTCCCCTTCATCCACCATCTTCCCTTTCATCTCCTTCATCTGCTCTTCCGTTGCTGCTCCTGCAGCCTGCCCTGTTCCCTCCTGCTCACCCTTCACATACTCATACTCCTCCCCCTCCGCATTCTTATCCTTCTCACTCTCTCCCTCTACCTCCTTCTCCTCCTCCTCTTCCTCCTCTTCTTCTTCCATATCTCCTGCAATACTCACCTTCTTTTTCCAAGCCTCCAAAGCACTCCCCAAGCTTCTCATCGGGTTCACCTCTTCCTTCTCCTTCTTCCTCTTCTCCTTCCCTCCCTCCTCCCCCTTCCTCCTCTCCTTCCCACCCTCCATACTCCTCTCACTCTTCTTCCTCTCCTCCTCTTCCTTCTCCTCCTCCTTCCCTTGCCCCTTGGTCTCCTTCTCCTCCACTTCCATCCCCATCACATCAACAGACGCCGTCCCCGCAGCCCTCACCCCTGCCACTTGCTCATTCCCATCCTGTTGCTGATCTCTAGCTGATTTCGTCCCCTTGATATCTTTCTCCTCCTCCATCTGCTCCTCTGCTACTGCTGCCTCTGCTCCCGTGCCCATGTTCTCAGGCTCTTTCTCCTCCCCCTCCTCCGCTTCCTCCTCCTCACCTCCCTCCCCATCCTCATCCTTCACCTCCCCTTCTTCTCCCTCCTCCTCCCCCTCCTCCCCTTCCTCCTTCTCCACATCAGCATCCCTCTCCTTCTCCTCTTCACCCTCCCCTTCTCCCTCACCCTTCTCCTCCCCATCCTCCTGCCCCTCCTCATCCCCACCACCAGCAGCGTCAGCAGCAGCACCGCCAGCACCATCATTCGCCCCATCCATCTCGTCCCACTCATCATCCTTCACCTCTCCCTCCTCTTCCTCCTCCTCCTCTTCTTGCGGCCTCCCATGTGATCCCATAGCCTCCTTTGCTTCTTCCACCTCGGTCTCCCCTTCCTCCTCCTCCCCTCCCTCCTCCTTCCCACCCTGCTCTCCTTCATCTATCTCCATATCATCAGGAAGGTCCAACTCTGGAACTTCCTCTTCCTTTCTCGGTGTAATTCCGTGAGATTCCTCCATCTCCTCCCCTTCCTCCTCCCCTTCTCCCTGCCACTCATTCACCTCACCCTCCTCCTCTCCCCCTTCCTCCTCCGCCCCTTCTCCCTCCTCCTCCCCTTGCTTCTTCCCCTTCTCGTCCTTCTTTGCCTGCTGCTCATCCTTCCCCTTCTCCTCTTTCTCCTCCTTTGCACCATCCTTCTCCCCACCCTCCTTATCATCCTCCCCGCCCTCCCCTCCCTCCTCATCCTCCTCCTCATCCTTGCCTCTATACTCCAAATCCTCCTCCCGCGCCCCCGAAATCGTCGAGTCCTTCCTCATTCTCCCTCTTTCCCTCCTTCTCCTCCTCCTCATCCCCCTTCCAAATCTTCTCATCAACCACATCAGCATTATCACCAACATCTCCCATCTCCTCCTCCAGTTGCTGTTCCTCCTCTCCCTCCTCTTCCTTCTCCTGATCCTCCTCCTCATCCTCGCTTATATCATGCATATCCCCATCGAAGTCTTGCTGCATTTCTATTCCCTTGGGTAGCTTGTCGTCCTTGCCCTTCTCCCCTTCCTCCTGCTCATATTTGTGGGAGGCAAGCGCGTAGTGAGAAAAGTGGAAGGGAGGTGTGAAAATGCGGAGAGAAGCGGGAATGCAGAGAGAAGTGAGAATGCAGAGAATGCTGTGAGATATACCTGCCCGACGTCATCACAAAAACCCTATGCCAAGTTTGGTCGAATTTTGATTTCGATTGTCTTCGCGTAAAAAAATCCGTAGCCAATTTGGAACGACGGTTGGAGTCATTTGATAGGAGCTCCGAGACACATCTCGCGACAAGGCTTGGCTCGGTTCAAGTTCCAATTTGGCACGCGAGCTTTTCCGGATGACATTCCGACGCAATCCGTTTTGTTGCAAATTCGTGACCAATTTATTCAATACTAAATTCTGTTTTTGTTCATTTTGGATTTTGGGGATTTCAAAATTGCATTTATTATTGCGGTTTACAAGAACCATTATTCAGCATGCTAGCAACAATCAGTCTTAGCACCAGGTCAAATAGCCTACGCATTGGCGGGCCTTGAAAGCGCCCGGTGGGCAAGGACGACATCTCCAAGGTCGCCGTCGTCGATGAGGAACTTGTTCGGAAAGACGAACGCACCCATAGCCGGATCGTGGGGGATCCTCCGCTCCACGACAGCAAAATGGATCATCTGTTTGACCTTTTCGCACCACTCCTGGTAGTCTGGCCTGTTCTGCTCTGGCTGGCTACTGATTCGCTTGCGACGCTTATCCTGCAGAAGGGGCCATTCGATCTGCAATGTGGTGTAGTAGGGTTGGGTGGGTGGTTTATGAGGAGGGTAGGTTACGGGTAAATGAGGCAACTGAAAGCGGTGATGCAGTCGTCACTATCTACGTAACTGCAAAGGCCTAATCGACCAGGGATTAGGGTTGAAGTACAGGCAAGGGGTTAAGGGGATGAGGCATGGGGGTACAAACACATATCTACATCCTTACCGAAAACAGGCCCCATGCCACCATGCGGCTCTTGAACTTGGTGAACACCGCCCCGCCCCTCTTGAAGGAGATCTTGAACGCATAAGCGAACAAGGGGTTGCTGAAGGGCGTCCCGGTGGCCTTGTCAAAGTGCCAGTTGAGGGCCCACTGTTCTGTTTTTTGGCAGGGAGGGTATGGGTTGGAAAGGGTTTTGTAGAGAAATCAAGTGGGGGGATGAGTGTCAGGGTGAGCCACATCGCACGGTGATATGTAGCTGCCAACTGGCATATGGTAGGGCATATTGTGTTTTCGAGTTGCACATACCATCTCTGTACTCGGCTAAGAGTTGAACGTCATCGAACCAGGTCGTTGGGTGTAGCTCAGTGGGCAGGCTATCCACGAGATGGCTGTAATAAGCAAGGCCCATGCCGGTGTATGTTGCTGGCCTGAGGGTGGAGTTGATAGTTGACCTTGTTGAGGACAGCTGGTGGTTGAAGACTCCCATGGTTGACTTGTCATTGTGCAACCACAGCAGCTTCATTGCCTCGAGCCCTTCTGCAGACAAGTGGACAGAGAACGCTTCGAACACTTCCTCCGGTGCAGGGTAGTACTGTATTTTCTCCGGCGGGTTCAGAAACATGAGCTGAGAGCACACTAAGTAGGCTTTGTTCTGCGCAGTGGTGTAAGGTATACAACACGACATGGGAGAGAGAAACCAGCAGTTATGTGGGTGGCCGCGTGACCATGGGATTGTGACTAGCAACACTGTGTGAACTTGCCACGTCACACCCTGCGCCATCCGACACGTCCACCAACAACCCGGCCCATTCTGCCACGTCACACCTCCCTACCACAAGCCACGTCACCCCCCACCCACCTGACACGCCTCGCTTCGTCATGCGCAGTTGTCACGTGTACCTTTTCTAACCGCCACGTCATCCCCAACCCTCACATGCTGCCACGTCACACCCACCTGCATCCGCCACGTCATCCCCAACCCTCACCTTCCGCCACGTCAGACCCTCCTGCATCCGCCACGTCCACCAACCAGCCCCACGTGCCACATCACACCCTCCTGCATCCGCCACGTCCACCAACAACCAGCCCCACGTGCCACGTCACACCCTCCCATCCCATGCCACGTCACCCCCCCACCCACCTGACACGCGTCGCCTCGTCAGTGGCCGCTCCTGTGTACCATTCCAACCGCCACGTCAGCCCCAACCCTCACATGCTGCCACGTCACACCTTTTTGCATCCGCCAACAACCCGCCCTACTTGCCACGTCACACCCCCACCAAGAGCGACGTCACCCCCCACCCACCTGAAACGCCTCGCTTCGTCATGCGCCGCTCACGTGTACCCTTGTAGGGTGCCACGTCATCCCCAACCCTCACCTTCCCCCACGTCACACCCACCTGCATCCGCCACGTCATCCCCAACCCTCACCTTCCGCCACGTCACACCCTCCTGCATCCGCCACGTCCACCAACCAGCCCCACGTGCCACGTCACACCCTCCTGCATCCGCCACGTCTACCAACAACCAGCCCCACGTGCCACGTCACACCCTCCCATCCCATGCCACGTCACCCCCCCACCCACCTGACACGCGTCGCCTCGTCAGTGGCCGCTCCTGTGTACCATTTCAAACCGCCACGTCAGGCCCAACCCTCACATGCCGCCACGCCACACCCTTTTGCATCCGCCAACAACCCGCCCTACTTGCCACGTCACACCCCCACCAAGAGCGACGTCACCCCCCACCCACCTGAAACGCCTCGCTTTGTCATGCGCCGCTCACGTGTACCCTTGTAGGGTGCCACGTCATCCCCAACCCTCACCTTCCCCCACGTCACACCCACCTGCATCCGCCACGTCTTCCCCAACCCTCACCTTCCGCCACGTCACACCCTCCTGCATCCGCCACGTCCACCAACAACCAGCCCCACGTGCCACGTCACACCCTCCTGCATCCGCCACGTCCACCAACAACCAGCCCCACGTGCCACGTCACACCCTCCCACCCCATGCCACGTCACCCCCCACCCACCTCTCACGCGTCGCCTCGTTACGCGCGGCTCCTGTGTACCATTCCAAACCACCACGACAGCCCCAACCCTCCCATTCTGCCACGCCACACCCTTTTGCATCTGCCAACAACCCGCCCTACTTGCCACGTCACACCCCCCACCAAGAGCCACGTCACACCCCCCACCAAGAGCCACGTCACCCCCCACCCACCTGAAACGCCTCGCTCCGTCATGCGGCACTCCCTTGCACCCTTTCACACCGCCACGTCATATCCCAACCCTCACCTTTTGCCATGTCACACGCACTTGCATCCGCCACGTTCACCAACAACCCGCCCCACTTGCCACGTCACACCCACCCACCCCATGCCACGTCACCCCCCACCCACCTGATACGCGTCGCCTCGTCACGCGCCGCTCCCGTGTTCCCTTCGAACCCGCCACGTCAGCCCCAACCCCGACCTTGTTGCCACATCAACCCCAACCCGCCCCATTTGGCCCGCCACATACCGGGAATGGGTTTGTCTCCTGCAACACTAGCACTCGTGCCTTGTCCACGGCGCTCGTCGGCGGCGGGGTACCAGCCATAGGCAGGGCTGCCGACCCGCCGGCATAGCTGGCAGGTACTCCACGACGCAGGCCGAGCTGTGCAAACATGGCGTACATCTCAGACCGCAGCGCCTGGAACTCCTCCCGTGTAACAAACTGCTCGTGCTCCTCACTTTCACCTAGGGCACCCATGAGCGGAGGAAAAGGGTGTGAAGAATCCCCCCTCTGGCCAAGGGTATCAACGTCTTCTGCAGCAGTCCCGTGTGCCCTCACACTATCACGCTGGCGGGAAAAGGGGAGCTCAGGGAAGGGATTGGCATAAGTGCCTGCCTGATGCTCGCGCGAAGGACCGGCGATGGGGGAGACCGCCCTGCCCCGGACAGGAGAAGCGTGGAGTTGCCGAAATGGGTACGAGGGTGAGGCGAGTGAGGAGTGCGTGACGGGGACGGGTGGAGGGGATTCGGATTCCTCTCCTCTTGGCGCGCCGGGTGCCGTCGTAGCGACTTTGCTGGGGCCGGCCCATGGCGTGTAGAACCTTGGTGCGCCGGACGAGAGCGGTGTAACACTCGCTATTCCGGCAGCCTTCGTTAGATGCATTCGTTGCACGCTTAAGGGCGGCCCAATGCCTGTAACGCGAGGGGCTGAGATGTAGAGGGAGTGGGAAAATAAAAATTGGAGTCGATCGGTTTCAAGGCGGGGCCAGACATGCATGCATATTCAGAAAGGTTTGAATCTAGATCGGGTTTAGGGTTGTACTGGTTTGAGACAAGAGGGTTTACCTTGCTTGGCAGATTCGTCAACCTTCTCCTTCCCTGCAGGAGAGAAACAATGTGAATAAAGGGTGTTATTTGGGACGGTTTAGCAGATTGTTTAACACGTCACGCCAGTTGTATTGGACACAATGCTCACCTTTCTGTTGTCCCTTCGGTTTTGGGGCAGCCTGCGCCTTCTCGTTGCCACCTTTCCGCGGGGTGCTTCGGCGCACGCTGCGACGTTTACCGGCAGGTTCCTTTTTGCCGGTACCCACTCGAACCCCTTTGGCGCGGCCACCCTTTCCTCCTCCATCCCCTTTTGCACCCTGGCTCCCTTGCTTTTTACCAACCCCTTCACTTTCGACCTTCACCTTACGCGCCTTCGGTTTGCCCGCTGCTTCGCCGCGCGCAGCGTCACCTGCCCCGCGTTTTCGGGAAGGGCGAGTCCGGCCCCCCTCCTTCCCTGTCCCACTCACCCGACCGCCACGCCCGCCCCGTCTCTTCCCTGGCGCCACATCCTCCTCCTCCTCCTCCTCCTCCTCCTCCTCCTCCTCCTCCTCCTCCTCCTCCTCCTCCTCCTTCTCTGATGCCTCCTCCTCCTCCTCCTCCTCCTCCTCCTCCTCCTCCTCCTCCTCCTCCTCCTCCTCCTCCTCCTCCTCCTCCTCCTCCTCGTCACCCAGCTCCTCCTCCTCATCCCCCTCCTCCTCCTCCTCCTCCTCCTCCTCCTCCTCCTCCTCCTCCTCCTCCTCCTCCTCCTCCTCCTCTTCGTCCTCCCCGCCATCATTCTCATCTTTAGCATCCTCCCCAACATCCGCGTCTTGCTCCTCCGCTTCCTCTTCATCCTCCTCTCCCTCCGCATCCTCCTCCTCATCCTCCTCCTCCTCCGTATCACCGGGGTCTTCATCGCCCCGTTTCGGCCTCGTTCCTGTCGCTGCTTTCTTGCCTCTCCTTCCGCCAGATGCTTTTCTTGCTGCGGGGCGGCCCTTCTGGCGCAATGCTTGACCGCCCGCCTTGCCACTAGCTTCCTTGGCGCCTCGCGGTGTGTCAACTTCCGCGCCTCCGGCGTTGTCAGCACTACCTGTCGTCTGGCGCCTCTTCGCCCGCGTGGTGAGGTCCCCGGGCACGGCGGTGTCATCATCCTCCTCCCCATCGCTCTTCCTTTGCCTACGCCTTCCCCGTCCACCAGAAGGAGGAGAGCCACCGACCAGCCCCACCGACTCGTGCTGTGCCACCTTGTCCTTATCCAGCACGGCTGCAGAAACTTCGACCACGCTCGGCTGGAGCAGCGTCAGATGGTGTTGCGTTGCCGCCTCCTCGGACTCCTTGGTTGCGGCATGCTCGGCGCGAGGATCGCCTCCGTGATTTCCCCCTGTCGCCGAACCCTCCATCTCCGCCGACGGGAGTGCAAGACTCGCGCTCCCTCGCCCCGGATCTTCGTTGCCGCCAGTGGTGCCGTCTTTACTCGGACCGGGCTCGGTTCCAGCAGAGGCACCATCCGCAGCTTTGTTCACTGTAGAAACACGCTTGCGTGGCGTTGGTTTAGGCCCCTTGTCTGCTGCTTTCTTGCCGGCCTCCTGTTGACCGCGCGCGACCTTTTTTGCCGCCGCTTTTTTCGGCCCAATGCCACGAGCGACGGACGCATTGTTTTTTTTAGCGCCGCCACCACTCTCCCTATCGATTTGTTTAGACGTCCCCCTTGTCGCGCGGCGGCCGGCCTGTTCCTCCTCCATTGCTTGGTTACGTGTTGCACGTGTCATGGTAATCGTAGGAAGAGCAAAGTTGCAAATCGCGCGGAAGGGTTGAGCCGGTTTCGAAAGGGTTTTGCTACTGAATCCCACGAAGGCATAATCGGCCGTCTATCACTGTTATGTGTTTACGAAAACAGCCGCTTCAACTAAGTCTGAAATAGTAGCCACTATGCTTCGCGCTAAGGCCGATCTGGAGAGGCGTGTGTCAAGGCAACGAGCAGCGTCAAAGTGTTGGCCCAGGGAGTGACGGAAGCAGGTGGGTGGGGCACGAGGGTGGTTGGGGTGAGTTGCGAGACTAGAGAGAGAAATGTAACCCTATCAGGCTACATTGGACGGTGTACGTGTAGCCACCCTAGCATAAACCCACCTTCCGCTCGATCTCAGCCGCCCAATGGCTGAAGTACCTCTTGGCTGATGACTGTGTTGCGGGGGGAATCGTTTGAGATGCGTCGGCCAATGACGGTTGCCAACACATCAATCACAACAAAGGGTAAACCTGGTGTGAAACCTACAGTGCGAAATTAGTCAAATCCCTGCAAAGTACAGTGTTTTCGGTTGCAAAGTAACAACGCATTTCATCAAACTCTAAGTTGCAACTGGTTTTGTACGGGGTTGGGGTAAGTTAATCGGTGATTCTCACGTCACACACACAACGACCGTCTTGAATTATTACTTAGGAAAGATGTACTGCGCACTTTTAGGCTTTGCCACAATGGTTTAGGGCCAGCGGACGTCATTCTAACACGATTATCAATAATAACAAACGTGAATCCGTTGTGGTATGGTGTTGGATTGTCATCCATTCTTGCACAGACATTACACAAGGTGCTTAGAAGGAGTCGTATGAAGCACAGGCCCAACGCACAAGCGTAGATGCGTTATCGACAGTCATGTTTAGACTGTGCGACGATGCATCGTTCAGGCCTCCGCGTTGCGCGACTTGGTGAATCCGTTGTGGTATGGTGTTGGATTGTCATCCATTCTTGCACAGACATTACACAAGGTGCTTAGAAGGAGTGGTATGAAGCACAGGCCCAACGCACAAGCGTAGATGCGTTATCGACAGTCATGTTTAGACTGTGCGACGATGCATCGTTCAGGCCTCCGCGTTGCGCGACTTGGTGAATCCGTTGTGGTATGGTGTTGGATTGTCATCCATTCTTGCGCAGACATTACACAAGGTGCTTAGAAGGAGTGGTATGAAGCGCAGGCCCAACGCACAAGCGTAGATGCGTTATCGACAGCCATGTTTAGACTGTGCGACGATGCATCGTTCAGGCCTCCGCGTTGCGCGACTTGGTGAATCCGTTGTGGTATGGTGTTGGATTGTCATCCATTCTTGCGCAGACATTACACAAGGTGCTTAGAAGGAGTGGTATGAAGCGCAGGCCCAACGCACAAGCGTAGATGCGTTATCGACAGCCATGTTTAGACTGTGCGACGATGCATCGTTCAGGCCTCCGCGTTGCGCGACTTGGTGAATCCGTTGTGGTATGGTGTTGGATTGTCATCCATTCTTGCGCAGACATTACACAAGGTGCTTAGAAGGAGTGGTATGAAGCGCAGGCCCAATGCACAAGCGTAGAGGCGTTATCGACATTCATGTTTAGACTGTGCGACGATGCATCGTTCAGGCCTCCGCGTTGCGCGACTTGGTGAATCCGTTGTGGTATGGTGTTGGATTGTCATCCATTCTTGCGCAGACATTACACAAGGTGCTTAGAAGGAGTGGTATGAAGCGCAGGCCCAACGCACAAGCGTAGATGCGTTATCGCCCAGGCCAAGCGATGGGGGAAAGCCGGTCATACACTACTTGCCCTCCTTCCAATCCCCCCATCTGCAATGTCTGCCGTGGAGAAGGTGATGCTCTTCCAGCGTTGCGTCATCACCGTGCTGCAGCCGCTTCTTGATTGCATCGCCAGGTCCGTACTCGGTTTGCATCTTGCTAAGACATCATCTCACCACCTGCATGGTATGCAAACCCTCTCTGTATGTAGCATGGCCCTTTGCCCCTCGTCGTTCCTCCCTAAAAGCCGCAACCTTGAATGCCTATTGCCACTCACTCCATTCCTTGCAGCGGGTTCCGTCTCAGGGACCCTTTCGGAGATTGGCAAACCGTGCGGCCCCTGCTGTACGCCTGGGTGTGCGACTACCCCGAGAGCGGCAAAATCAGTTGCACACTCTCGCATGGATCGCGGATGCCGTGCAGCATCTGCTATGCTGCAAAGGTGAGGTCACATGCCATCTGCACGCATTCAATTACATTCCCGTTTGTGGCTCGCCTGAGCGAACCCACATAGCTACCACCCTTACCTTTTCTATCCCATCCCTCGGCCCCGTGCTACAACAGGAGCATCTGAGTGCTGTCAAGGCACGGAACACGCCGCGCACGCCTGAACAGCAGCAATGGATCGTTAACGAGGCGGCGGGGACGACAACTAGCCAGGACAACCCGTGCAAGGCCTACTCTACCTACCCTGTTGAGGTGAGTGACCTGTTTCCCCGGCCCATGAGTAGTCTATGCTCTCGCCCGCCCCGTCATGAATTGCCAGATGTGCTCTGCCCCATTGAACTCACCCGACTTGTGGTTTAGATTACCTATCCACTCTCACGTACATCTCTCCTCCATTCCCCACCACATCCCCATTTCCAGTGCGTG